GCTTTGAGCTGACTAGCTTGATAGCACCAGAGAAGATTTGGAACAGTGAGCCCACCCTGTTCAATGGTCTTGTACAAAGCATCTGCTCACTTCCCTGGTCTTTTCTTACTCCATATAAAGTCTAATAACATCCTTTGTGGTCCTGCTAGGGTTTTATCTGGGGTAACAACAGAGACATTTTGAAACAGGAAAGCTATCCTTGGTGGAATAGTCCTTTTGACTGTGGCTATTCTTCCCAACCCAGAAATCGCAGGCTTCCCCCACCCCTCCAGGGCCCTGCTCATTTCCTGATGCCGTGTCTTCACATTTAAATCATAGAGCAATTCTAGGCTGTCTGAGATTTGAATTCTCACCTATCTTATAGAATTTGTTGCCCATTTTGTACCCGAACGTTTTCAGGAGGAGAGACTTTTCAGAGTCTGGCAGGTTTATAGGGAACATTTCAGATTTGGCGTAATTGACTTTAAATCCAGACGCTTGCCCACAGTCCTGCACTTCTCTAAAAACAAATTTTAGGGAAATATTTGGTTTAGATAAAAATAATATGACATCATCGGCATCAAATGCGGGTTCCTGATGTGCCCTTGTGCCTTTTATTCCTGTGGTGGATCCATTGTTCCTTATTCCGCAGCCAGTGCACAAAGTAAAGGAGACACAGACTCATTTCTAACAGTGAGGCTGATTAACCACTGGAACAAGCTACCGAGGGCAATGGTGAATTCTCCATCTCTTGATGAAATTCTCTGGCCTGTGCTACACAGGGGTCAGATTAGATGAGCTAATGGTCTCTTTGACAGGGGAGTGGTTAATATTCCTTCTAAAACTCTTGACTATTGTTTAATATTTGTTATTATAACTCAGTCTCACTATCCAGAGAAACCGCTGATCGTTTTTCAAATCTTGCTAAGTTATGGCGTCAGTGACATCCAGTGGCAGTGAGTTCCACCGGATATGTGTGTATTTCCTTTTCTTCATTTTGAGTTTGTCCACTTTCATTGTCACTGAACTGCCCCTTTATTCTTGGGTTCAGACACAGGGTGAACAAACATTCCCCTCTAGCTTGCGTATTCCATTCATCCACTTCTGTCCAGTCCCCTCTGATTCATCCCCTCTCTTTTCACCTCCCATCTTTTCTGTCTCTCTTCAGCTGAGTTTATCCAGGCCCTTCATTCTTGTCTCCCTTCTTTGAGCCCCCTCTAATTCTTGCGGAGGAAGGTACTACTTAGCTAGAGTAATGATGGCAGAATACGGCCTTATCAGATTTATCTAATATTGATATTTTAATGGCTTTTAACTGTGGTAAAAGAAAGCCTGTATTATTTCTCTGCTGATTCACCCTTCTGAACAGCCAGCCTGGCTAACGAGCTCTAGGAACCTGAACTAAACATTCTGGATTGCAGGATTTTAGCCACTTGTAGTCATCAAAAATACCCAGAGTGTGTCAGGTTTGTTACTATGGGGAGCTTTTCTTTCAAATGTGGAGGTAAGTGGGGCTGGGCTGTAGTGCTCAGTGCCTTGGAGAGGAGCGGGGCTGAGGCTCACAAGCAGGGCCCGGCCCTACCTGCTAGCAGGAAGCGTACAACTCTCTGGCTCTGGGTTTATCCCCTGGGGAGCTCAGCAGTGTTGGTCCTGGCAGCTCAGAAGTCGGAAGGCAAGGCGGATATGGCCTGCCAGCGGGAGACTCGGGAGAGAATTCCCCAGCGTCGCCTTAAAGCCATTACAGCCATATAAGAACTGTCCTGGACAAAGGCACCTAAGCAGGTCCGTCCCCTGCTCTGTGCTGGGAACCTCAAGTGTGACGGTCAGTTACTGCCTGAGGGCGGGCTCACCCCTGTGCAGAGCAGCCAGCCCAGTGCATCTCGTCAGTCTCCCGATCCCGGGAGCGCTGTTCACTGTATGTTTCAGATCCAGGCCTTCCCCGGCACGCCAGCGCTTCGCAGCACTACGAGCTACGGCCCAGGTGGGTTTCAGGAGACAGAGGAGCCGTGTGCTGCCGTATTGCCCTGTGTGGGCGCAGCGCGGAAGGGAGATGTTAGCGCGCAGCAGATGGCAAAGCAGAGCTGCCACGTGCATTGAGGCTCACTTTGCCGTCCCCGGATCCAGCTGAAATGCTTCGCTGGGCAGCACCCTCCTTCCTGCCACGTGCTGGGGTGGAGTTTCCTCAGTTTGAACACAGGAGAAGGAAATGCTCGGTGCATTGGCCTCGCAGGCTCAGGGTCCCAGAGTGGGGAGCAGGGGGGTTCAAGCTCTCACCCCAACGTAGGCCCCTCAGTCCTTGTTTTCTCCTTTGCCTCAGTGGGCAGGGGGTTAGGGGTTAAATGCCAGGCTCAGAGCAGAACCTTTGCAACACAGAGAAAGGGCAGACCAGACCAGCCCCCACCCACCAGAGATGCCACCTTCCTACAGCATGGGGGCCATACACGGCCTGTGCCCTCTGGGCTAAGGGGCTGGAGAGCACCAGGCCGGGAGCCGCACGGGAGAACCCGGGCACCTGTGCAGCTGAGGGCAGAAATGGAGATGCCCACACACAGAGGCCACGAAGACACCAGCTCCCTGCAGCCGGCTGGCGCCCCCCGGGGCCGTGACCTCGCCAGAGCCCATGTGCCCAGTCAGACTGGGCCGCAGTCAGAACCGGGTGGCAGACCCAGCGTCCGCAGGGGGCAGCGCGGGGCTCTGCGGGGACCTCTCCCTGGGCACAGTGCTGACCCCACTGTCCCCGCAGGAGGCAGCAGTGAAGGGGGCCCAGAAGGGGGCACTGCATTGCCCCGGGTCTGGGGCTCTGTGTGTCAGACACAGTCACACTGAGCAGCTGAGCCCTGCAGCCCCTCAGGGCCTGGAGGTCTGAGCCCAGCTGTCCCTGCTAACCCTCCTTGGGGGAATGACCCGGCCTCCCGACCGCCCCCTGCCCCTCCTGCTGCACTGGGCTTGGCTTGCTGCCCCAGCAGCTGTGCGGCGGCTGGCTCCACGCCAGAGGTGGCTGCATGGCGCTGGCAGGGGGCAGGAGAGACGGGCCGTCCAAAGACACGTTTCCGCGGCGCTTGGCAGGGAAGGCGCGGCATGAAAGCGAAGCCGATGGTGACTCGGAGGCGCCCAGCTGTGCCCTGCCCCGTTCGGCGGAGGGCAGAGCGCGCGTGACGCAGGTGTTTACACGGGGGGCCGGGGCTCAGGGGAGGGCAGGCAGCGAAAAAGCGGAGTTAGCAAATTCTCCGGCCGAATTCACTCGGAGCGCGGCAGGGGGAATTGGCCCGGCCCGGGGCCGGGGGCTGGGGGCCCTGCAGCCCCATCTGCGTCCCTGCCTCCTGCGCTTCGCTGGAAACATCTGGTCCGGATTTGGGAGGGAGGCCGAGGGGGCCCTCCTGCCGCCGAGCGCTTCCAGCTCCCGGCTGGGAAAGCGGCGCGCAGCTCCGCCTGCCCCGAGCCCGGCCCAGCGCGCGGCTGCGGCCCCCGGGCTCGCCAGGCTCGGGGCGCGCTCCCCGGCTCCTGAGCTCGGGCCGAGCGGAGCCGAGCAGGGCCCGGCGAGCCCGGATCAGCGGGTTCCAGAGCCCCGGGCTCGGCCCTGGCGGAGCCTGTGCGCAGGGCTCGGGGTCTGTCCATGGTGCTGCGTGCGCGCCCGGGGGTGGGTGGGTGTGTCCCCGCCTGTCTCCACGGCGGTGTGTGTGTGTGTGATTGTCCCCAGGCCGCGGGGGTGTAGCTATCCGTGCCCAGGGCTCTGTGTGTCCCCGTGGCGGTGTGTAGCCGTGTGTCTCCAGGGCGGTGTGTGTGTGTGTCTAGATCTGCGTGCAGGGCTCTGAGTGTGTCTCCGGGGGGGGTGCGTCTCTCCATGGCGGGGTGTATCTGTGTGTGTGTGTGTCTCCAGGGCGGTGTGTGTGTGTGTCTAGATCTGCGTGCAGGGGGCTCTGAGTGTGTCTCCAGGGTGTGTGTGTCTCTCCATGGCGGGGTGTATCTGTGTGTGTGTGTGTGTATCTCCAGGGGGTGTTTGTCTCTCCATGGCGGGGTGTATCTGTGTGTGTGTGTGTCTCCAGGGCGGTGTGTGTGTGTGTCTAGATCTGCGTGCAGGGCTCTGAGTGTGTCTCCAGGGGGTGTGTGTCTCTCCATGGCAGGGTGTATCTGTGTGTGTGTGTGTCTCCAGGGCGGTGTGTGTGTCTCCAGGGCGGTGTGTGTGTGTATCTAGCTATGTCCATGGCTCTGTGTGTGTGTGTGTGTGTGTGTGTGTGTCTCCAGGGCGGGGTGTGTGTGTATCTAGCTATGTCCATGGCTGTGTGTGTGTGTGTGTCTCTCCATGGCGGGGTGTATCTGTGTGTGTGTGTGTCTCCAGGGCGGTGTGTGTGTGTGTCTAGATCTGCGTGCAGGGCTCTGAGTGTGTCTCCAGGGGGTGTGTGTCTCTCCATGGCGGGGTGTATCTGTGTGTGTGTGTGTGTCTCCAGGGCGGTGTGTGTGTGTATCTAGCTATGTCCATGGCTGTGTGTGTGTGTCTCTCCATGGCGGGGTGTATCTGTGTGTGTGTGTGTCTCCAGGGCGGGGTGTGTGTGTGTGTCTAGCTATGTCCATGGCTGTGTGTGTGTGTGTGTGTGTGTGTGTGTGTATCTCCAGGGGGTGTGTGTCTCTCCATGGCGGGGTGTATCTGTGTGTGTGTGTGTGTCTCCAGGGCGGTGTGTGTGTGTGTATCTAGCTATGTCCATGGCTGTGTGTGTGTGTGTCTCTCCATGGCGGGGTGTATCTGTGTGTGTGTGTGTCTCCAGGGCGGTGTGTGTGTGTATCTAGCTATGTCCATGGCTGTGTGTGTGTGTGTGTGTGTGTCTCCAAGGCGGGGTGTGTGTGGCCGTGTCCATGGCTCTGCGTGCCCGTGGCGGGCCCAGCTCCCCGCCCCCGGCTGACACCAGGCTGTGTTTACACGCGCACTGAAGGAACGCGGAGCACACTCCCCCCAGCCCCAGGAGGGCGCGGGGCCGCGGCGCGGGGGGCCTCGGGGCTGGAGCCGGCCGGCGGGGGGCGGGGCGGCGGGCGGGGCGGGGCTTGCCTGGTTTTGCCCCCCAGCCTCCCAAACTTTCCCGCAACTCGGCAGCAGAAGCCCCGCGAAGCAGCCGCCGCGTCCCCAGCGGAGCCCGGGCGGGGAAGGAGCAGCGGGGCCCGCGGGCTGGATCCGGGCTGCCCTGGGCTGACGCAACGTCCCCGCGGGGATCCACCTGGCCGGGCTGGGAGCCGGCCCCGGGCGGCATGGAGGGGGTAAGGGGCGGGGTGCGGAGCCAGGGGGCACCGGGGGGCGCAGAGCCACTGGAGGGCGAGGGGCGCAGAGCCAGTGAGGGGGCGCAGAACCAGCTGGGGGGCGGGGGGCCGGGGGGCGCAGAGCCTGGGGGCCGGCGGGGGTCGGGCTGGGGGGCGCCGGAGGCGGCGCTTTGCCCCCCGTGCGCTGGTTGTTGCCGGTCCGGGAGACCGGGCGGAGCTGGCTCCGGGGGGCTCAGAGCGCTGGGGGGCGGGGAGGGGTCAGTGAGGGGCGCTGCCCGGGGGTCGGTACATGGGGAGGGGGGGTATGTCAGGCGCTGGGGGGGCGGTGTCCGAGGGGGGAGGCCAGGAGCTGGGGGGGCGGGGGGGGCAGTGGCGCTGGAACTAGGGGGGCTGCCGCACCCCTGGCTTGGAGTAATAACAACAAACAGGGAATCCATGGTTTCCATGGTTCCCGTCAGCAGCCCCCCCCCCGTCAAAATTGTTCCAGCACCGCTGGGAGGCGGCGCCCGGGGGGGGCGGAATGTCCGAGGCAGTACATGGGGTGGGGGCGGTGCCCAAGGAAGGGGGATGCCCTGGGGGCGGTGCCCAGGGGAGGGGGGGAGGTTCATGGGGAGGGGGCGGTGCCCGGGGGGGGGGGCTGGGTCATGGGGCCCCCTCGCCTCCCCATGGGCCCAGGGTAGCTCCGCTCCTTGGTTACGTTAGTTGCTCTGAGGCTCGGCGAGCCCGACCCACATCTTCCCGCCTCGGGTCGCCCCAGGCCGGCGGGGGCCGGAGCTAGCCTGGGTAGCCCCCGCTGTTCCCACGGGGCCCGTGCTCCGCCCGCTGGAGACCCGGGGGGCCGGGGTCGGTCATAGCCGGGGCCGGGGGGCCGGGGGACCCCGAGGGGGGCGGGGCAGGGGGTCCCCATCTCAGTAATTTTCCACCCGGCATGTGGAGGGGCAGGGCCGAGGAGTAACCATGTGGCAGCTGATGTAACCCCCCCCCCCATCCCGCTGCTTAAAGGAGCCGGAGCCTCTACTGGGGATGGCTTTGGGCTCTGCTGGGGCCACCGGGGGCTCTCCTCCCTGAGAGCCACTGGCCCCCCCATAGGGACCTGAGGGGCTCTCCTCCCTTGGGGCCACTGGCCCCCCCATAGGGACCTGAGGGGCTCTCCTTCCTGGGGGGCCACTGGCCCCCCTATAGGGATGTGGGGGGGCTCTCCCCTGCAGTCAGTTGCCTCGCAGAGTCAGGGCAAAGTGTTATGTTGGATTAAGACCCTACTGGGTGTGGGGGGCGCGGGGGTTCCTAACCCCGGGCAGCAAGAGGAGCCGTGAGAGCCCCTGACTCCGCGGGCTGGGGGGCGGCATCCCAGAGCTGGTGTGGGGCTGGGGCCATTGTGACCCAGTCTGACCCCCTGTACAGCCCAGACCAGAGCCCTGCCCCCGGTCACTCCTGTTAGACAAACAGCCAACTTTGGTTTAGGTTGCCAGCCCTGGAGAATCCACCCGACCCCGGGGAAATTGTTCCAACAGATAATTACTCTGGCCGTGAAACATGCGCACCTTATTGCCAGTCCGTCTGGCCTCAGCCTGCAGCCGCTGACGGGGGGGAGGACGGGCCGTGATGGGGTGGCACTGGCGGGGGGTGCCAGGCCGTGGATCTGGTCAGTCACGCCCATCACCCTGTGTGTGAGTGGGAGTGGGCAGAGCACTTGAGCTGGGCTCAGTGAGGCTGGAGCTTCCAGACGGGACGGGCTTGGAGCTCGTGGGCGCTGGGTGGTGATTAGTGCTAGCACCCGGAAAGGTCAGTGCCAAGGGCCTGGGGGGGTTGGGAGGGAGGGCAGGGCCTGGGGTGCCATGTCCCGTGGCAGACAGAAGGCCAGCGCCAGGGGAGTGGGCAGGTCCGGTTCGTCTGATTCCCAGACCCTGCAGTGCGGCGGGCTTGACAGACGCTCAAAAAGGAAACAATTCACGATGCGCCATGTGACCCACAGCGCTCCCTGCCCCAGAGGCTGCAGAATCCGGACCTGAGGCTACGTTTATAGGGGGCTGGCTGAGCGTGTGACCAGTGGGGTAGCTGTGTGAGCTGCAGGAAGGGGCATCAGCTCTCATGCTTCAGGGTTCAGCACATGCATCAGGAAGGCCTCTGGCTCCCTGAAAGACACAGTTCTCCTGCCACTCTCTGGGATGTTCTCCCCCCTCGCCTGTGGTCGGAGTCCAGCCCCGAGCGGGAGCCATACCCCCACTGAGGGTCGGATGCATTCTCCATTGCTGGCCACTTTGAAGTCACAGGAGCACTTGGGTGTCAGGCCCCGGTGAGCCAGGTCCAAGGTCAGGCATCTGTGGGTGACGCAGCCCCCGCCAGCCCTTAAAGGGGCCATGCACCACTGAGCTCGTTCTTGAAAGGGCAGTTGTCTGGGCCTGATCCTCTGAAAGGAACAGTGTAGTCCAGCAGGTCTTGGAGAGGCAGGACGCCGTGCCAGAGCCCAGTCCCCTCTGAAAGGGATGGCACCGCTGCCCACTGCCCCGGGATCTAGTTCCGGAGGAGATGAGAGAGCCCCTTTAACTCTTAAAGGGATGCTACCTCTCCCCTTCTGTCTCAGCCCCCTGCATCTCTGTACAATGCCCTACGCCCCCTGGCCAGTACCTAGCGGAGAATGAGAACCAGTGGCCGGACAAATGACAATGAGAAGCCAGGCACACGTGTGTGGCATGGGTGGTGAATGGGCCCTGGGCAGTGCTGCTCTCAGATCCAGCCCTGCTGCCAGACACACATTCTCGGGCTCAGTACAGGGTACCTGGGTGACGTTCTCTGGGCCGTGCTAGACAGGGCGTCGGGTGGGACAATCGCCGGCGTGGTTCCTTCCGCCCTTGCGCTCTGGGCCTTTCTGACTCGGATTCTGATCTAGAACTGGGTCTTCACCAGTGCTTGGAGCAGGGCCAGTGGCTCTGATTTATGTCCCTCCCCTCATGGGAGTGAGCAGGGCTGGGCGTGGGGTGGGAGAGAGACAGCAGAAACCTGATTTGCCTACATGCAAATTGCCAGAGCCCAATCTTGGTGGTGGCATTTTCCATCCCGGAGGATTGGTAGCTGGGACTGTACCCTTCGCTCACCACTGAAATGCAGCCACCTCTGGGGTGGGGGGCAGTAGCTCTTTGACCAGACCAGAGGTTAGAAGAGGCAGGGGAAGGAGGCTCCTGTGGGGAGAGGAGGGGCAGAGAGGCAGGCTGCGGTGGCCACGGTGCAGATCCAGGGCAGCAGGAGGGAAGGTAGCTTGGGGTGGCTAGTGTCCTGTGTGCCAGGCAGGCTGTCGGTTCCCGTCTCGCCCGGAAGCCCCTCTCTGAAATAGACGCGCCGCACTGAGGGCCAGGTGACTGCTGGGGCAGCGAGATGCTGGGAGAGGTTTTCTAGCATCCTTACAGGGGGGGCGGGGAGGACAGGGGGCCGACACGGAGCCAGATCCCTGCCGACCCCGGAGCTCAGCAGCAGCTGGGCCCTGCTAGCCATGGGGGAGGGTGGGCTGGGGCCTCCTGGAGGGAAGAAAGGAGTTGGGAGCATGGCCCAGGGCGTTGGGCTGGGCTCAGCACCAGGGAGGGGTTGAGTAACCCCCCCACCCTGCCTGCTTTGTAATGCTCCGGTAATGCACCTGCTCCAAGCAGCCGGTGCCCTGACCAGGCCGGCAGGGCTGGGGGCTGTGCCTGGGTTCGTGCCCCCGCTGGGCCCCCGCCCGTGACCCCGTCCCGGCACCCTCAGAGCTCCTGGGTAGGAGGCAGGGGCTGGGGGTTGGTCCAGGAGCCATTGGCCCTGGGCGGTGCCTCCTGCTCCTTATCTCACCCGCTCAGGTCCTGCTGCAGCCCAGCTGGCCTGGCTCCGGGGGCCCTACACCCTGCTCCAGCCCCACCTCCTCCCTGCAGGCCAACGCCCCCACCCCAGCCTGCTCCAGGCCCTGCCAGGGGGTGGCCCCACTCCCTCGACACCTCCCCTGGCCCTAGCTCGCCCTCCGGCAGGGGCTGGAGCCATGCTGGGGTGCAGGACAAGGGGCAGGGGAGTGCGGGGCACTGTTGAGATGGCCCTGCCCCTGCAGGTGGTGCTGAGTCTGGGCCCTGGCCAGAGGGCTCCTGGCAGCCCGGCGAACTGCGGGCAAGGCACGGTGACAGCAAGGCAGGGCTTGGTCAGGGCCCGAGCAGCAGCTCAGACTGTGAGCAGGGCAGCCCGAGCGCGCGGCCCGCTGAGGAATGGGGGGTGGCAGCATCCCCCCAGGTCTGGCAGCAGCTGGTCCCTGGCAGCGGCTGCCAACTCCGACCCAGGCAGTAGCATGCAGGGGGCAGCGGGGCAGAAGGAAATCGCCTCCCATCTGTGCCCTCCACGGCAGTTGAGCTCCAGGCCGGCCCTGCTCCGGCCGAGTCCCTCTGCCCCCGGCAGCACCAGGCACAGCCACGTGCCATCTTCACCTCAGTCTTTGTGTGGGGTGAGCATTGGGCAAGCTCCCCCCCTCCAACTCTCCCCATGCCCCTGGGTCCCGACCCGCAGCCCCTGCTAGCGCAGCCCTGCCCCCCAAACTCTGCCCGTGCCCCTGGGTCCCGACCCGCAGCCCCCTGCTAGTCCAGTCCTGCCCCCCAAACTCTGCCCGTGCCCCTGGGTCCCGACCCGCAGCCCCCTGCTAGCCCAGCCCTGCCCCCCAAACTCTGCCCGTGCCCCTGGGTCCCGACCCGCAGCCCCCTGCTAGCCCAGTCCTGCCCCCCAAACTCTGCCCGTGCCCCTGGGTCCCGACCCGCAGCCCCCTGCTAGCGCAGCCCTGGGCCTTCTCCTAAGCATAGCTGCAAGACGGTTGATTCTCTGATGGCAAGAAGTGGCCCCCCAGAGACCAGCCTGACTAGAGGAATGGGCCCTGATCTAGGAATGAATCCAGATTTTGGAGGTGCAGGATGGGGTGCCCCCTGGGAGGGTGCAGGAAGAGAGTGCCCCCCCCAGGAGGGTAGGGGTGGGAGTGCTTCCCAATGAGGGTGGGGGCAGGGATGCTTCCCGACCGGCTCTGCTCCCCCGTGACCGCAAGTCACTCCCGTCTTGTTTCTCCCCAGCTCTCTCCTGCGCTGTCTGTGGACTGAACAGCTCGGTGCCGACGTCTCCGTGCCAGCCGGGTGCAGCCAGCGAGACGGAGAGTGGGCAGGCAGGAGCCCCCGTGGCGGGCTGCGCAGAACATGCCCGAACCCCCAGCCATGGTGGATAAATGCAGCGGGGGGTTACTGGTGAGTGCTGGGGGTCCCATTGCCTGGGCTTTGCTGGGGGTTGGATGGTGCCAGGCACCCTGTGGGTCAGTGGCTGGCAGGCTAAGTCTCTGGGAGAAGCTGGGAAGGCCAGCTGTGCATTACTGCAGGAGGGTTGCGGGAGCGATGCCACCTGACTCCCTGGAGCATGAGAGCTGACTGTTCTGGGCCAGGCTGTCACGAGGGAGAGGCTGGAGCAGGAGCCTGGTGGTCAGGACTCCTGGGTCCTCTTCCTGGTCCTATCCTGATTTGTTGCGTTCCACCACCGACCCGTGCCTCAGTTTCCCCATCTGTCTGGCAGGCTGGCCTGGAGGGGCTGGGGGAATGGCTGGCGTTGCAGTTGCTCTGTCCCGGGGTCTGTCCATGGCATTTCCGGAGGCCCCTGCTTTCCATTTGCTGTCTGGGCAGCTGTGGGGGGATCGGCAGCTCCACCCCATGCCCCAGTTGGTGCCGGTGCAAGGGCTGGGCTCTGCCCCACGGCGCCCTGCTGGACTCTCCGTGTGGTGGCTCTGGAACTGCCCATCCCCGTTGTTCCGGGGGGAGCGGGGGGGGCGCCAGGCGCGGGATCCGGGCAGGAACTGGGCTGACTCCAGCTTGCAGAGTGCGATTTAGATCTCGGCGCTGCTGGCTCCCCTTGGAATGCATCGAGTATGCTGATGGGGGGCTGTGCCCCCCTCCCTCCCTCCCTCCCGGTCGCTGTGCCCCCCTCTCCAGTTCCGGCTGGGGGCGTGGAGCGGGAAGTCTTGTGCACAAGCCCATGGCTGTTTCTGGAGGGGTGGGGAGGCTGCATCATGGGCTTGGCTGGCAGGGGAGGGCGGGGGCTGCCCTGGAAGTGCCAGGGCTGAGCACAGCCATCCCCAGAACAACGCCTCTTACTCAGTGGTGAGGGCGCTGGACCGGGAGCCAGGACTTCTGGGTTCCCTACTGACTCATTGTGAAGGCTCCGTCCCTTTCTGTGCCTCGGTTTCCCCTGGGAAGCACGAGCTGGATGGTCCCAGCTGGTCCCCCTGGGGCTGTCTCTGGCAGGGCCCCTGGCAGCAGTTGCTGTGAGCCCGAGGGGTGGCCCATAGAGACTCCATCTCCCAGCATGCACTGGGGGAGGGGGGTGAGTGTGTGCCCTGTTAACCCTTTGTGGCGAGAGCCCCCCCGCGAGGGAGTCCGAGTCGCGTGGTGCTCGTGCGACAGGGATTGCCCTGGGCTGTGCGAGGAGCCGCGTTCCGGAGCGAGGGTTCCCGGCCTCGCACGTCCGCTCGCGTGAGGTCTGTGCACACTCACCGGTGGGCTGGCCCCACAGGCTCCCGTGCCCGGCCCCGTGCACAGGGAGCAGGAGCTGCTGCCGTTCCCATCGGCTCCCACGGTGCCCCTGGACCCAGGGGCCGATCGGCTCACAGGACTGTGCTCTGACCACGAGGACCCACTCCTGTGACCTCTGGGGGGCCTGTGGGCGTGGTGTCCGTGGTATCGCCTTCCCAGGCACTCTGCTTCTCCCTTGTCACCCCTGCCCCGGGCTCCTCCGGACGCAGAGTGGAGTCCCCTCCCCCGTCCTCGTCTCCATTGTGCTCACCTGTGGCCCCCCCACTCACAAAGGGGCGCTGACCCTGAGCCTAGACAGTACCGGGGGTGTCTGGGGCCCATGGGCACCTTCCCTTGCCCCTCTCGTGTGCTGCCGTGGCAGGGTGCAGAAAGGGGGCTGAGTGGGGGCAAAAGGCTCCGGAGAGCCCCGCCCTGCCCTGGGGTGTGGCGTGGGGCTGGGCAGATCTGCAGTGAGGGGTGGGGAAGGGGAGAGGATGTCTCTAGTCCAGGGCGCTGCAGAGTTGTCCCCAGGGGTTCCTGTGTGTGGGGATGCAGTGCAACCTCCCAGGGCTCGGGGTCCCCCCAGGCAGGCCGGGGCGGGATCCCCCTATTGCGGGGCAGGAGGAGAGCCTGGCTCTGCCTCCCCACATCTCCCCCCCCCCCCCACGCGGGCTGGGGACGTGGCAGGAGATGTGGTGCCTGACCCGGGAGCGGCTCCGGCTGCAGGAAACGCTGGAGCAGCTGCGAGCTCAGCCAAGCCTGGACCCGCCCCCCGCCCAGGCCAGGTCTCCGAGGGGCTGGGGAGGCTCCCGGGGGCAGAGGCCGGCTATGGCATTTGTAACGGGTCCAGCTGCAGGTGCCCGCGGGTGCAGGGGCTGCTCTCAGTGAGGGGTGACTGCAGGTCCGATCCCCGTGAGTGGGATGCCAGGTCCCGCCCCGCCCTGCCCCCCATGCCGGTGCGCCCTGTAGCCCTGTGCCCATGTCCTGCTCCCCATCTCTCACGTACAGTCAGTGTTGATGCCCCTGCCCAGGGCTCCGCCCTCTGCCACCCCCTCTGCCCCAAGCTGCCTGCCCCAGAGCCTCCCCCATCTCAACCTCTTCTCCTGGGAGCCGCTGGCCCTGCCCCCTCCCCTGTCGCTCGCTGCCAGCGGGCACCCGAGCGGGGGCTAGGGAGGCCCCTCTCAGCAGAGGCCTCTTGGGGCTCTGTGGCCCTTGCGGCTCTGGGCCAAGCAGAGTGTGTGGGCTGTGCCCAGCTGGTGACCTGCCCCGCGTGTGCCACGGCCCCCGCTGGATGCACCGCAGCGTCTCAGGACCCCCTACTGCTCCCAGCAGGGGAGAGTCTCCTGCAGTGCAGGGAGCAGCGCCCGGGGGCCTCCCTCTCCCTGTCGGCGACTGAGCCTGGGCTTGTCCCAGAGCCTGCCATCTGCCTCGCCTGCCCTCACCTGCCCAGCCCTCCTGTTCCCCTGGCAAGAGGCGATAATGTCACCGGTACCCAAAGCAGCATCACTGGGTTCTGGGGAAGGTGCAGGTCCCGGCAGGTCCAGGCGGCCCGGCCCCTCCCTGCACCTGGGCTTGGCTGTAGTTTTATTTTCCCCAGCAGATGGGAATAAAGATCCCAGGATGAATCGGGGGCTGGTCCCTCCCACTCCCGGGGGCCTCCCAAAATAGCCCTGCGCCCCAGCCAAAGGGAACAGAGCCAGGACTTTCCTGGGAAGCATGAGAGCTGGTGGGGAGGGAATGGTGTATGCCAGCGAGTGTGTGTGGTGCTCCTACGCACGCACAATCCTGCCTGTGCACACGCGCGTGCGCTCTGCACACACCCGTTCAGAGGAGTGTTTGTGTGAGCTCTCCCCCTGCGTGGGTGGGGGAAGGGTGCTCACGCTGGGTCTGGGCTCGGCTCCGGGGGCCATGGGGCATGCAGTGAGCACATGGGGCCATGTCTCTGCGTCCCCCGGGGATGGGGCATGCAGTGAGACAGAGAGGGGGAAAGGCACCAGGCGGGGTGTGATTAGCCGGTGAGACTCCTGGCACGGGGGCCTCTGGGGCCAAGCGAGAGCTGGGTGGTTCCGGTGGCTATTGGAGTGTTTGGCGTTATCGTGGCGAGCGCGAAGCTGTCCGTAGTCAGGGACAAACCCAACCTCTCGCTGTCGGAGACCAGGAGACCTTCTGGGGGTGGAGTACGCTGCAGCGTCTCCGGCAGGGTTCTGCGGCAGCCGGGCCGGGGCTGATGGGCGTCGGGGTGGGACACACCTGGCGATTGTGGGGCCAGGCTGCTTCCCCGGTGGCTTTGGGAGGAGCAGATTTGGCACATAGCCTTGCCGCTTGTAACAGCCTGCCCCTGGGTGACCAGCTCACGCCCAGCTGAATACCCCACCCTCAAGCCGAGATCTCCCCCTGGCAGGCTGAGGAGCCAGAGACCCCATGGCCATTGCTCTTGGTTGAGGTGGAGGGGCCCAGAGGCTGTGGTGATGGGCAGTGGTATAAACCCCCTGATCTTAGCCAGCTCGCCCTCATGTTCCCTGCCCAGAGTGCGCGGGAATCTCGCCCTGTGCCTGCTGCAATGGGAGGCCTGGGCCCCAGGGGTGGCACGGGGGCTGGGCTGCACAGGACGGGTACCCCCCTTTGACACCTCTCGGCTCTGGGCATGCACACCCGCTCTTGCACGCACGCCTGTGGCTGGCAGCACGTGGCGTGGCGAGGAAGTCTGCTGCTATGTTGCCCGTTTGGCAGGGGCGGCCGCTGTGGCCCTGGGTTCAGCTCCGGGCTCGCTGTCAACAGGCACTGGGCCTCAGGTGGGCATATATTTCATGCAGTATAGGAGCCCCCGACGCACACGCCGTGCCTGCCTGTGCCCGCCTCCAGTCCCTTGCCCTGCGGGGCACCAGGGGGAGGCTGGCCTGCTAGCACTGCCAACCTCACAGGTCACCAGGCTCTGACGCTGGCTGGCCTCTCCAGCCCCCCCGCCCCAGTGCAGTGGGGCATAGGCTGCCCTCGTGCACACAGCTGCTCACGCTCATGTGCCTGTGCATTCATGCGCTGCCCCCGTGCGCTCACGCACAGACCCCCGTGCACTCACGCGCTTCCCTGCTCCCCTTTGCCCTGGCACAACTCCCTCCCAGCACCCCAGACACTGCTTTTGCAATTCCCTGAGCCCAGCAGTGACCCCTGAGTGTGCGGGGGGGGGGGCTGGCACAAACGCCTGTGCAGGGAAGCCCTGGCACCAATACATGGGGGACGGGGGGCTGGCAGGGAGCCAGGCAGGCGTGAGGTCCCAGATCCTCTCCGGGTGAATCTTTAACAACTTCCTGGAAAATACCCCAGGCCCAGCTCAGTTGGGGAAGGCAGGATGTCAGTGAGGGGAGGAGGGACTGGAAGTCACCTGGCTGGCCCCCCCCCAGCTCTGCTGATGCCCCTCAATCCTGACCCGCAGCGCCCTCTATCCCAGCCCTGGGCTTCCCACCCAGCCCCCTTCCTTCTTGGTATTGGGCTTGTGACCTTTTCTCCCTGTCGGGGAGGGGTGCCCCGGCCCCCAAGCAGGGCTGAGGTAGAGAGGGTCCCGGGGGGGCAAGCCAGCGGTGCGGGGGGCAAGGCGGGAGCTGTCAGGGCTGAGAGGTGGCAGCCCACAGCCCTGTTTGGGATGGGGTAGGTCAGGACCCCCCCGGGCGACTGCTCGCAGCTCAGCTCCCAGC